AACACTTTCCGTGTAAATCCGTAGGCCGTACTCCTTGAGTATGTACCGCGGTGCAATTGATTGACCCACGCTGTATCGAGAACTGTTGTTCGTGAACGAACCCGGATCGTTTAGCGTCCGGTCGATGTCAGCAAAGCCACGGGAGGGAGGGCTCCCACATTATGCATGGGGAGCGCTCGCCAATGATACCTGGGAAAATCCAGCAGCATTTGTTTAACACGATGCAGATTGAGACTGCCTGCTGAAAGGAAAACGAATCGGGTCCAGGGTTTGATTGGCTCAAATAGTCACCGCTTGGTAATATTCGGTCTGGAAAGCCAATAGCAACAGGCAGGCGGGCCGACTCGAAACTAAAAAAAAAATCCGCGCCTCGATACGTGGAGAGACGGAATGTAAGGCGCTGTGCTGTGGGATGTTAACTACCTGGCCTGGTATACAAGACATCATGGGTTCGATCAAGATTCTGACGCCTGTATATTTGGAGTTTGCCTATGCTCCCCGTGGTCGCGTGCATTTTTCTCCGGGCCCTCCGATTATTTTCCCCCTGCACGTTTAGAAATATTCGTTTAGACTATTGCGGCTGCTACACAACATGTGCTCGCGTTACGCCGATCTCGTTGAGCGGTGTCATTTGTGATGGGCAGGTCGCGTCTGCAAGAAACACAGTGGGCCTTACCTGGTTAAAATGTAATTATTATTAAAAAGTTCTCCATATATTAGCTGAAAGCAAAGGGGTCCTTTAGTTAAATATATATATACTATGAATATTCGCTCACGTGCATACACAGAGAGAGAGAGAGAAAGAGCGAGGTGACGTGTTCGCTCTTGTCCTATCGCCCAGAGCGCGGATCAATTACGCCGGCGCTACGCTTACTGGCAAAAAAAAACGAATTAAATAAAATTCGCCACTTCTGCAAGCAGCCCGCCTGTCTGTGCGTCTGCATGGGTCAGAAGCCACAGATGTATTGCCCCCGAGGCAACGAGTCTGGCACGATGTCGCGAGGCGTTTTAAATAATATTGCTATCGTGATGATGATTAGTATACCATTAGCCGTATTCTTTCCGACAGGAAAAGGGGGTTGTCTGGATGCGGCAGGGGCGGCGTGCGTGCGTGTGTGTGTGTGTGCGCGCCGCGTATTTCACATTCAGTCTGAGTGACTGCATCTATTTACATTATTATGAAAGCCCTTGAATGGCTGTTCACACGCCTGCCTGCCACACACCGTCGTGTGTCTGAGGGTCATCCCATTTCTCAAAAGGCCAAGCATTATTTGCCTTAACGTCTTTTGTGCCCTGGGCGCTTGTATTGTCGTTTAAAGGGGGTGTTAAGTGCTCTCTGTGTGCATTATGTGGATAATAGTGATTCGTATGTGTGTGTCTGTTTATATATATATATGTGTGTAGTGCAACATTTATCACGTTGCACTACGAACCCGAGTTCGATTCCTGCTCATGGCCAATACCAGTGACGATTTATCTTATCCGGTCCCAACCCTCCCCTAGGTCGACTCAGGATCAAATGAGTACCTAGTGCGGTGTGTCAACATCGCCACTGGGGAGACAAAGGCGGCCGGGCGTGGTGCTGTCCACCCACCCCCTCGTGTGCCGTGCCGGCCTTCATTAGGTGTTACTCGCTAACAGCACTTGCCCCAACAGTCTGTTCAGGCTATAAGGAGGGTCGTTGTCTTTTGTTATGTATATATGTAAATACGTAGCCACTGATGAACGTGAGAAAATGAGGAAGGCGATAGTGCAGTGGACAGCGGCACGTCAACGACTTGAAACTCGGCAAACTTGGGTTCGATTCCCGGTCACGGCTAACATCAGTATCGAGTGATATCTGAACCGGTCCTGCCCCCTCCCCCCCGCCCATTCCTCTCCCCCTGTTCCCGTCACCCTTCAGCAACCCGCACTGGCCAGCCGGGTGGTGGAGTATGGTCAAACAATCCACACGATGTCCGACGCGGCGTGGCTGAGGCTTTTATCCGACAGTGGACTGACAACTGCGGCTACAAAGTCGAGCAGACAATACCAAACACAAAGAAAGATCTTTGTCTAATGAATACCAGACAAAAAGACGCAGATCCCCCGTATAGCCTTAACAAACTATTGGGGCAAGTGCAGTTAGCGAGCATCTATGAAGGCCGGAACGATATACGAGGGGTTGGGTGACCAGCACCACGCCCGACCGTCTTTGTCTCCCAAGTGGCGATGTTTACACACCGCAACAGGTACTCATTTGATGCTGAGTCGACTTAATCGTCACTGGTGTTGGCCGTGAGCGGAAATCCAACTCGGCTCGCCGGGTTCATAGCGGAGCGTGCTAACCACTACACTACCGCTCCCCACACACACATATATGTAAACACACATTCATGCCGCAGCTGAGATCGCCTCTGTTACAAACTCCCTCTCTCTCTCTTTGTGCATTCTTCGTATGGCACACGAAGAGGGACGGGCAACAGATTCTCGCCGCTCGTTCACTTTGGCGTAGAGGAACTAAGACGCCGGCACGGACGATCGGACGTAATCCAAATCGCCAAGCGTTTAAAGGGCGACGATTCGAGCAATAGCCTTTCTTCATAGCACCTGGCTATCACGCATTATATACGTGTATCCTTGTAAGGCCACATACTATTTATTGACACATGCGTTAGGCTGCAGCGTTGTTGTTATTATTTTACTTGTGCCTTTGCACCATTGTCAGCGCAGCAGAAGCAGCAGTAGCGTCACCAAATAATTCGTTTAATAGCAAACGTTTAGGATTCTCGTCTACGTAGGTGATGTGTGTGTGTGTAGAGACACAAACAAAAAAACACACGACAAAAACGTCTGCGTTACAATATGTGGAGGGGCTGAAATCTCGACGCGGCTTGAGAAACGCGGCATTGTATATCACGAATTCCATTCACGCATGCCGAGTGTGCGCTAAAGCATTAACAAGGCAATTAAGTCCCGACTACCTGCTCGGCTATTCGCGTTCGCTTGTAGCTAATATCGTCAGCGAGAGTTGTATCGAACGCTCCGCTCTGTGCGTCCACCGTACCGATAAAATTAACGCAAATTAATCACACGCACACACACGCGCACACACACGCGCACACACACACGCACACACGCACGCGCGCGCATCCAAAAGTGTGATACGGCGTTGAACAGCGGTGCATAAGCACAAATAACTATACAACTCAACACATCTGTCAATAACACTGCCCTAATATGACTATATACTATACTAATAAGCAAGATGTATCGTGTAATGGCTATTTTTTTTTCTGTGTAGACAGATTGACCATTGACCTTGTATACACTACGCTACAGACGACGTTATACACAACGTGGGAGATTCCCTAACGAGGGTGTTTAGCGGAGACGAAGCACGCGCATTCTCTATCCGCACAAGAGAAAAGTTGTGTGGTGAGAACACACTGCACTGTATGTACCAAGTGTGCTCACTTCCCGGTAAGGTGTGTTTTCATCTTCTTGGTTCTTTCGGTAAAGTCACGTAGAAGGGAAGTAATAAAATAATAAAAATAAAACATAATAAAACAATTCTCACGACGTTTCGGCCTCAACGCAAGCAGCCGTCCTCAGGTGAAAACCAGGTCCGTCGAGGCGACAGAGGCTGCTTGCGTTGTGGCCGAAACGTCGTGAGAATTGTTTTATTATGTTTTATTTTTATTATTTTATTACTTCCCTTCTACGTGACTTTACCGAAAGAACCAAGAAGATGAATCCCTGCAGTCACGAAAGCTTTAAATCGAAATTTAGGTGTGTTTTGTTTTAAATATATAAAATAAAGTCGCGCGCGGGTATTTTGCTTTCAAATTCGTAGTTAAAAAAATGAGTTTTATTAACTTGCCCGAATAATGTACAAAGACAACGATCCCCCATATAGCCTTAACAGACTGTTGGGGCAAGTGCTGTTAGGAAACACCTCTTAAGGCCGTCACGGCAAACGGGGGGGGGGGGGTGAGTGGCCAGCACCACGCCCGGCCGCCTTTGTCTCCCCAGTAGCGATGTTAACACACCACACCAGATACTCATTTGACCTCGGGGAGGCCCAGGACCAGTTCAGATAATCGTCACTGGGGTTGGTGGCCGTGAGCGGGAATCGAACTCGGGTGGCAAGGTTCGTAGCGCAGCGCGCTAACCGCTACACGACCGCGCGCGCAAACGAACAAGATAACAATGTACACTATAAATACTCGTTAAGGTCAGTGTCTAGGTTACACCACTTTCGATGCAACAATCATGCAACCAAAGGCCAGATGCACTCGACAAAGTTCCCCCGTAAAGGCTTCACATATTTTTGGAACAACAACAAAGTGCTGTAAGCGAGCATCGATGAAGTCCGTGAGGGTTACACGGGGAGTTGGATGGCCAGCACCATGCCGGACCGCCTTTGTCTCCCCAGTGACAAAGTTTACACACCGCACACAGGTACTCATTTGAGGCTGAGTCGACCTCAGGGAAGCCCAGGACCGGTTCAGATAATCGTCACTGGGGTTGGTGGCAGTGAGCGGGAATCGAACTCGGGTGGCCGGGTTCGTTGCACGCAACGCGCTAACAGCCACGCTACCGCATATCCACACACACACATGTGGAACAATCATGCATGTGTGCGTGTACGTGCGTTGCACGCAATCTTGCCACAGAGACCCACTCTGATCGTCTACCCGACCCCGTCTGACTTAGGCGTCGCTTCGCCCCCACGACCTCCAACAAACCGTTGGAGCGCGCGTTGTTAGCGAGCGCCTATTGAGACCAGCGTGGCCAAATCGCGCCAGGTGTGCTCACATTTAAGGCCCGGTCGACCTAGTGGAGGCGCCGAACCGGTCCACTATCACCCGTGAGAACCGGGTGGCTCATTCGTCGATTGAGCACACAGATCCGGAAAAGTCCCGTGCATGTATCCTGCCCAGACTGTTGGTGCAAGCGCTTCAATAGGTACATCGCTACCACAAACCACACGCGCGGTTTAAGCAAAGCGCACGTACCTGGGTATCTGTGCCCAAGATACCGCGGCCGATGCAATAGCCACGGGTAGAGACTGATGGCATCCCTCCCCTGCGGACCTCCGAACAGGGGCAGCGACGGAGGCGGGTGGGACAAGTGGTGGTGGTGGTGGTGGCCGGACGGGTGCATGGCGGGCACGGCGAGCAGTGGCTGCAGGTGATGGGCGTCGTGGAAGAACAACTCCGGGTGCATCCCCGCCCGGCTGGCAGCCGCGGCCGCTGCCGCCGCCGCCGCTGCCGCGAATGGATGCGGTGGCTGGGCACCGCAAGTCAACGGATTCGCACCTCCGGGTATCGGGTAAGCCGGCTGTTGTTGCTGTTGTTGCTGCTGTTGCTGCTGTTGTTGCTGCTGCTGCTGTTGTTGTTGCAAAGTTGCGGCCGCGGATACAGAGTCGCCACCATCCTTAGCCACGAGAGATTCGATGGTGAAGCAGCGCTTGGTGGGTGGCTGGAACATCGTCCTCCCTCCTCGACTCGCGGACGCGCGGATTTTTGTGGGTTTTTTTTGTTGTCGTCGCCAGCCGTCGGAGATAACAGAGTGAGAAAGAATCTGGTGCGCGCCAGGTGCGAGCGCGCTGCGATTGAATCCGCGTCTTTAAGCGACAGTGAGCGGTATTCGTGTGTGTCTCTCTCTGTTCGTGTGTGTGCGTGTCTCTGTGTGTGTGTCTGTGTGTGTGTGTCTCTCTCTCTCTCTCTGTGGTTCTGTGTGTGTCTCTGTGTGTGTCTGTGTGTGTGCGTCTGTGTGTGTGTGTGTCTCTCTCTCTCTGTGTATGTGCGTGTCTCTCTCTCTCCGTGCGTGCGTGTGTCTCTGTGTGTCCCTCTCTCGCTGTATTCGCGTTCTTGTCCTTAGCGATTTGTAGATCTTCTCGTCGCTCCGTCGTTTCTCTCTCTCTCTCTCTCAATATTCGTTGCTCCTCCACACACCCCCCACCCACCCCACTTATGATGAGCAGGTCACTGCGAGGCTATTGGCTCCACGCCGTCCGTCAGTCCGTGAGGCTGGGAACGCAGCCGGCTTTGACTTCGCACTCGACGCATGCAGAGGGGGGGGGGGGAGGCGCGCCTCCGTCTCTGTTTTTTTCCTATCTCTCGCACCCACCCCACCCTCCCACCACCACCCCCACACATACACCACTTCTCCCTTTAACTACGAGACAACACCGATGTGGCCTTGTTGGCTTTTGTTTGTGCCCGCTTCGTTTCTCCCGCCGGCGAGTTTGACAGCGCGCTCGAGAGCCAAGCTATTCATTCACTCGCTCGCTTCACGAAGACCAATCGACTCGTGCCATTGTATCTTTCGCCGGGGCTCCCGGCCACGAGACGTGTGAACTTGCTTGGTCGTGGACCAGGAAGGGAAGGAAGCGATCTGTTTTGTTTGACGCAACGGTGTGGCCGGTCTGCAACACCGCCGCCGCCGCCGCCGCCACCACCACCACCACACCGACACAGCTGGACAATTCCAAACAGGTGACTGCCACGGAAACAGGGGGAGAGAAAGAGAGAGAGAAAATACACCACACACGTTGCCTCTCTTAGTCAAGCGATGCAAATCACGACGCATTCGATTGGTGTCGGCTGCGCTTTCCGTCGCGAAAGCAAGAATAATGGGCGGCCGCAGCGCTTTCGATGGCAATCAAATAGATCGTCCACATTTGTACTAACGAATTAGCTGATAGTGCCTGCACAAAACACAACAACAACAACAATAATAACAACAACACATGCCGCTTGACGCCTTTCGTCATTTTCTACCGGTAAGGGCCGTGCAAAAACCATCACCCCCCACCCTCCCCCCCCACTTATGTATATACATACATAAATATAAACTCTCCGTGTACGACTTAAAGAGAGTTAACGCAATTCGGGGCCGGCGTTCGTCGTGATCTTCTCTCACTCCGTCCGTGGCAAATCGCACGGAGGAGCCGGTGCGAGTGAAACTCGTGCCCGACTTACTTGGCCCCGATTCGGTCCCTTCCTCCACGCTCCCTTCTTCAAACGAGGCCGCTCAAATGTTCGTTCGTGTGTTCGTGCGTTCCTTCCTCTTGATCGCCGCCAGTGCGCGCGTGTTGTTGTTGTTGCCTCTGCCGCTGCTGTTGTTGTTGATGTATTAACACCGCAGTCGTTGAGCAGCGCTTACGGAGTGATGCCGGAGCGGGCAGGAGGAGGAGGGGGAGTTACCGGCCAGCGCGCTAAGTCGACGCAGCTCGCAAATCTGCGTTGGTTGTTGGCCCGCGTGCTTTCGATCACTGGCTCCACTTCCCCAACCTACTATTACCCTCCCCTCTTCTCCTCCTCCTCCCTCTCTCCCTCCCATCTCCCCTACCCCACCCAACTCCTCCCCACACGCACACACACGCGCACACACGCGCGCACGCACACACACAACTCACATCTCTTGGGCGTCATGCATACATAGCCTTAGGGAGAAGCGGGTGGAGCGCACGACTTTGCCTCTAAAAGTGATTGGCCGTGCAAATTGAAGCGTGTGTGGGGGTGGTGGGTTTGCGGTGGCGAAGCTGTGTGGGGAGGTTATAGGAGACAGTCGAGAGAGATATACACACGCGCGCGCAAAGGCAAAGGTCCCCCGTGTAGCCTTCGTGGATTTGTTGAGGGCAAGTACTGTTGGCCAACACACCTCCCGTAGGCCGTTAGGGCCGCGCGGTGCGGAGAGAATTCATTCAAGGCCATGTCAATGCAGCAGATGTACAGGCTCGGCTCTGATTATAATCGCTGTCGTTTGATGGCCGTGGCCGAGAATCGAACTCGGGCCGCCGGGTGCATAGCGCAATGGACTTTCACGCTACCCCCCCCCCCCCCACACACACACGCGCCAAACAAACGTGGCCTCAAAGTGCACGTAGCCTGGCACAAGAAGCTGCGTGGTGATGTCGTCGTCACACAGCGGCGAATCACAGCTGTTGCTGTTGTTAAACCTGTTATTACATCCCTCCCATAGCTCGGACTCGGCCGTAAAATAATACGTTACGCCTTTGCGGTGTGTGAACATCGGCAGCGGGGAGACAAAGGCGGCCCCGGCGTGGTTCTGGCAACCCCCCCCTCCCCCCTCCACGTGCGCATGCCGGCCTCGCACTTGCCCCAACAGTCTCGTAAGGCTACACGGGGGATCTTTGTCTAAGTGACATGTGTGTGTGTTGTAAACCCCACCCTCCACACTCTTCTAAAACATATTCCTCACCTCCCCTCGTCTGTCCTCCCCTAAAGTGTAGCCAAGGATGACCGTGCAAATCTCCCGACATCTACACACGCATCGATAACGCACACACACACACAGATATATAATATGGCAATCTGTTTAAACATTTATGTATATATGTGCACATAAAGAGGTCAAAGATGGGAATATTTCTACGGGATGTGTGTGTTTGATTCGGTTCCTTTATTTCGTTAACTACGGAAGACGAGAGCGGTGGGCGCGAAGTGGTTGTGAGCGCACTGCGCTCTGATGCCAGCGTGCCGGGTTCGATCGCGGTACCGACGGCGAACATCAGTGGCGAGTGAAAGCTGAACCGGCCCTGGGCGCTCCACCCCCCCACCCCCACTGTACCCCCCCCCCAAATTCGCTAATCCCGCACTGACCAGCGTGGTGAAGTATGGATGAAAAAGCCCCGAACGTAACAAGACGTGGGGATCCCCTTCGACCAAGTTCCTGAGATCTTGAGATCGCCTTCTTCTGAGTACTCCGAGGGCAAGGATTAATTTCCTGGAGTGTGTTGAACTTCGTTCGCACCGTACGTAGCCGACTAATCGGAGGGGCGGGCTTTTTCCACTGTGAAGCTCCGTGTCTATGGAACAACGCTTTGCCTTTGATAATACGACAACCAGGATTGTTAGAGCTACTTAATTCTGCCTTAACAAAAAAAACTCACCTCTTTAAATTGGCATTTAGCCCCAAGTTCTGGCCGTTTACCCTGCATGGTTCTGTCAATTGCATGCTTTCCATACACGCCGCTTTGCGATCTACGGATGAAATGCGTCTTACAAGTGAACATTATTATGATGATTCATCTGGCAACGGATTGACCAAGACGCGTGAAAATATCACCAGCAGCACAATCCCACACCACGTGTCCGCAGTGTGTGTGTGTGGTGTATGTATGTGGGGTAAACAACCCCATTAACAAATGTGTGGTGAGCGGTGGTGTAGCGGTTAGCGCGCTGAGCTACGATCCCGGCGACCCGAGTTCTATTCCCGCTCACGGCCGACACCAGTGACAATTATCTGAGCCGGTTCTGGACTTCTCCTAGGTCGACTTAGCCTCAAATGAGTACCTGGTGTGGTTTGTAAACATCGCTACTGGAGAGACAAAGGCGGCCGGGCGTGGTGTTGGTTACCGACCCCCTCGTGTGCCGTGCCGGCCTTCATAGTTGCTCGCTAACAGCACTTGCCCCAACAGTCTGTTTAGGCTATACGGGGGATGTTTGTTTTTTGGGGTGAACAATCCCATTAACAAACGCGCCGTTCAAGTGTCGTTTGTTTTCGTGCTCAATCGAACCTTGACCGATCTTCATTCATCTCTCTTGGGGAGCGGTGGTGACAGTTCCACATTGCTATGGCGAGGACAAGGTCATCCATAGAACGTCCCCTTCTTACAGAGCAATAGCGACTTCCTGCAACGAACGATCTATAGCTGCCAGATATCCAGGTAGACGTGTGGTCGGTTTAAAGATACGATTTCAAGCTCCGAATCAGAGCTCGCGTAACACCCCAGTCCTGGCGCATCAGCCAAGCTCGACGTTGCGGCTTTGCCAAGGCCACGTGGTTATATCGGACTCGCTGTGTGACCGAGACACGGAACATATACATATAAAGTCGGGGCGGATATGTGACGGTCGAATGTGCGACGTTGCACTGCATGGGGGTAGCCATTGCTCGCACGCGTTCACATCGCGAGCGCGCCCACTGTTCTAACTCGCGGCGTCTGTACGAACGTGGCTCTGGAGGCTAATAAACGACTTCTCAGTCGGGGCGAGCCTTCCTTAATTTGATTTATCGGCCACGTGTTAATGCGATTTTAACGTGTTTAATTCACACCTGGCAGCCGCGCCAGCCAAACTCGGCGCACTCGCCTTGCGTGGCTTAGACCGCCGTCGCCTGGCGCGCGACTCTGCACACTCGGGCAATGATTGGAAACTTTCCACCCCCCCCCCCCCCCCCGATTGCGCAGCGAGCGACACATTTTTAATGCCGCTCCTACTTAAGGGAAACAACTGATTACTAGGAGGGAGCGGCGGGCGCGGTGGTTAGCGCTCTGCGCTTTGCGCCGCGAGACGCCGGGCGATGAAATTGCACCCAGAGTTCAGTTCCCCCCCCACCCCACCCCCCGCCCCCCAGGTCAAGGGTGACGACAGTGGCGAGGGATGTCTGAACCCACCCCTGGACTCAACCCTTACTGACCATCGTGGCAAAGTATGGTCACACAACCGTCCATGTACGACAAGGACGTGGGGAGGTGTTTTTGTGTTTGTGTTGTTTTACCCGGCAGTACATTGACGAAAGGCGGCGCATTGCAGGCTGTGCACGCGTGTTTTGAAGATGGAAAACGCGATCGGTTTATCGTCGTAGGATGTCCCGACTCGACTGTTTGTGTTTTTGTTGTTGTTGTTTGGGTTGTTCGACCATACTTCACCACGCTAGTCAATGCGTGCTGGTGAAGAGAGAAGCCACAACCGGTTCGGATGTACACTCGCCACGGCAGAGTCGTCGCCGGCAATCGATGTTCTTGGTGGCCGGGTGCGTAGCCCCAGTGCGCTAACGACTGCGCCACCGCTCCACTGTCATCGTCGAGCACTGTGGTGTCTACGCTGACTTCGGTGTCAAAATCAGGTCGCTAGCTACCATCCGTGAGTTGCCATCCGTGAGTTACCATCCGCACGCGGCTATTTCGTGCATCTCTTCAGCAATTATCAATTCATTTCTGCAGTTTTTAGCGACACGTAAACATCGCATTGCGACGCCAGATTCCCACAGCTGATGCACCCGGAGATCGGCGCGACCTCCGAAGATCTGCCCCTGACAGTGCCCCCCCCCATCACCCTT